AATCACTACCTAGTTGGTTTACTCTTTAATAACCATGAGCAGTTAAGAAAAGAAAGACACTGATATAGGATTTGTCTAAATATGACCATTAGCAATAAAGATATTGCCCATTTTGTCCAATTATCCTTGCATGTAAAATCACCCTGCACTGTACATCAATAAGCACAAAAGGAATATTTCTGTGACTTTGTATAAAGGTGTGGCCTAAATAAGGTAAGGGAGGGGGGTTTAGGCCTAAATAAGGTAAGGGAGGGGGGGTTAGCTTATTTAGGCCACCTGTGGCCTAAATAAGGTAGGGGAGGGGGGTTTAGCTAATTTAGGCCATGTGTGGCCTAAATAAGGTCACCCTTGAAAAAAAAAAAAGGCAGTCGTCCTTAACCCCCCTTGATCTTGACCAAACCATAAATGAGAAAAAAAATTAAATTAGAAGACACTACACCACAAACAAGAAACAAAATTAGAAGACGTGGATCAAAGACACAATTGTTTTATATATATATATATATATATATATATATATATATATATATATATATATATATATATATATTATAACAAAAAACACAACAACCTGTAAAATTTCTATTTCTATGGCAGATGTTTATTATTATTTATTTATCATTCAAGCAAGTGCTCTACAGTGTAACTTTATGCGAGTAAACATTAAGAAAAAAACCACACATTTTTACATGTAGTCATTTAGTATTTCTCATAAATCATTTTGTGCATTAACATGTAAGACAGCATTTGGCATTACGACAAGAGAAGAATACGAAAGACTTCTAGGACCTGCATCTCAACAGCTGCTGCAGAACCTCTTAATCAACTCTTCCTCACTGGATGAAATTCTATTGTGGCCTGAGACAAGAAGAGGCAACCCCACTAGGCTACAAATTGAGCATAATATATCCACGGTCAGTCAATTCAAGATGTCAGCAACAGTACATGTTTCCATGTACATTGTATATGATGGCCATTTAAGACTTTATTGGGAAAACAAAATGGTCCAGCACGCACATAGTGAACACGCAAATAATAGCAAAAAATGCACACAGTGAACAGATTGTCAGGTACTGATTTTTTAAAATATTCTATGTTGCAGATAGCACAAAATGCACACAGTGAAAGATTTTCAGGTTCTGTATTTTAAAAAATATTCCTTGTATTCAAGTTCAGGTGTATAAAATGAATGTCGAACACCCAAATCTGCAAATCTAGAAAACTTTAATCCCAACAACACGCATGTTAGCATGGCATATTAGCCACAATTCATAAAATGTTGAGCCAATCATTCAATTTTGCTATTTCAATTGAAATTCCTGCATAATAGCAAAATTTGTGCATAACAAAAATTATAATATAATAATATCATGTTATATTAAAAAGTTTGTGTTAATTACACAATTGTCTCAATGCCAGAGAGTGCTGAGGTTTTTTTAGAACACTGCTGTTGAGCTAAATGCTCAGGGAACACAAGTGAAGCACACAAAGATGCAACTGTGATGAATATGTATTGAAAATAAAGCATAAAACTAAGGACGACAAACTACAACAGTGCACACCATAAAAAAACAATTTTTAATTTAAATCTATCTCCTCTTCGCAGATCTATGGAGTTATCAATCCCTTGAGAAAAACGGTACATTATTATTATTCAAGAAACTACAGAAGACTGTTCAAAACGAATAAATTTCATATCCCCATCTTTTCCCGCATGCATTGGAAGTCTCCTTAACTGTTCAATAAAAAATTCCATCAGATCTAGTTAACATGAACAATTCTGAACCGTTTCATTACACCTCCATGTTGAATCTCCCCCTTTCTTCCCCCCCCCCTCACAGTAGCTTTCTAAAGTCAGTGCAGGTCACACAGCATGCTTTTAATAAAATAAGACCCTATCCCACTAAATAAAGCGTCTCTCTCACCACTTGCTGGATATAAGCGATGAGAGGGAAAGAAAACTTGAGATGAGATACTCGGCACTGCCAACTGCCCCCAGTTTAAGTTTAATAGAAATGTCCTGTCTTTTTCATATTACAGAATATGCAGCAATGATTTATTGATTAAGCAGATAGCCTTTCTTCAGATGGGCATAAAACCTAAAATACATAAAATGAAAAAACCTTAAGTTTAAAGAAGTAAAATAGGTGTTCTTGTCCAGTGAAACCAAATGAGCCATACATTCAAAATTGCTACAAAACATTCTTATTTAACAATCTGAGTTATATCACACAAAGTCACAAAGCAATACATATAATTATATAAACAATTACATTCAATTTATGAATAAGAGACATTTGGATTAGTTTGAGTAAAGAAAAGGGATACAGTTGACTCCACTTCAGTTGAAATCATTCGAGTTGATTTTCGGTTACGTTGATATTTTTCTCAGGTCCCAGCAACTCTTCTGCTTTACATTTTTATAACATTCAAATGATTATGTTAAGTTCAACATGCTTCTTTAAAAATACCCAGCCACAAGTATGCAACGGCTGAATTGATTTTTTGTGCGTGCATCGAACCATCTGTTGACCAATAAACATACAATGTTGGGAACTTAAAAGGAAATGTTTTGCTTTAAACTATGTGTTGTTTGTGGTGGTTTTCAGGTACCAATTAAGAATTAAGAATTCATTTTCATAGGTTTATTAAGAGATCATAACTAGATCTTGTCAATAGAGGCCAACTGTCTATAATGGTTACCTTTCTTTGTGATCTTGAGTGATCGTATAAATGGAAGTTTTAACTGTATTAATCATACAAAGGTAAATGACATATTAAAATATATCATACTGACTTCAAATGGTATTACGAAAAATTTTGACTGACAACATAACATTTTTGAGAGTCTCTCAACATACAATTATTACAATGAACCTTCAGGGAGGGCCTAAAGGCAAGTGCATTATAGGCAAGTCATGATTTGGGGAGGGTGTGGGTGAGGCTGGGGCGAGTTAATACAATTTAGTTTCAAGCTGAAAATATTTTATAAACCAGACAAAAGAACATGACATTGAGTGAGACATCCTTTAACAAATGACTGGAACAAAAATATTTAACCTTGAACTGATAACAATGCATTTTTAACCCTTTGAGCCTCGACTTTCTGAGGCTATCATATGCCTCTGCCTCTGAGCTACTAAGATATTCACGCCCACATTCACATCATTGTCAGAATCGCATTCCAGTTCCATCTCGCTCAGGGTAGTCCTCATCACTACCAGGATCTAATCCCGAACGATCTTTAAAATAACGAATAATTTCCTGTCTAATAAACACTGTCTTCTGTGTGCGAAACACTGTTTTCTCCGTGTGTTTTGTCGCAGGCACGCCGGTTTGGGGATAGGATCTTGCTCACTGGTGTATCCGTGGCTAGGCATAAGGGCAATTTTACCGGCGACCAGTTAGGGCTCAAAGGGCTAAGCAATAAAAAAAAACAATGACCAATGGCATTACACTCCTGAACATTGTACTGCAGGAAGATCACAAATATATTTCATAATTTTTAAAGATGGCCCTGAACTTATTAATAATGTCTGGATACACAAAATGATAACATGACAAAGAGGATTAACCTGAACACAAAAATATCATGAAGAGAGCAAAGGGAGCACCAGATGTCCCAAATAACACCAGACCACTCCAATTCAAACCCCCCGTCAAAACCAAAAAAAAAAAAAAAAAAAAGAAAAGAAATACTTCGAAAACAACTTAGAATCGTCTCATAACTTTAAACGAGGGATGAAAAAAAGAAACTCTCAAAGCAGAGACAAACAACAAACAAAAAGGTCAAATATTTACTTCACTTTTAGAACTAGACTACTTTATGTTTATAATAATTATATATATGGAATGGTCAGTATCAGAACTGGACTTGGTCGACATGAACTGCGAGTATATCCACAATGCGTCAATAGAGTATCAAAAGGAGCAACAATATCTGCTTATTTTTATAAATATTTATATATATAGATACAAAACAAAGAAAACATCTACATACTAGACCTGCATGTGAAACCAACCAGATTGTCTGAAAATTTTTCGCACCCCCCCCCCAAAAGAGCTTTTATGGGTATCATAAGGAAGGACTTTCGAGTAACAAGCGACCAACCCAACAAACACAACGAAGAAGAGACCTAACCCTACCCCTACCCCTAGGCCTACCCCAAAAAAGAACCTGCAACGAGCCTCATATTAAAAGGCCAGCAAAAGTCCAATATGAAAAAAAAAAATTTAATTAAAAAACCACACTCCAAAACAAACAAGGCTTGCAAGGAGCATAATATAATGGCCTATATCTACATATTGCTAGACCTAGATCTATAATAATAGGGTTTGATAAAACAACACAATAGAACTGGAATATGAATCCCCATATAGATCTAGTAAACTAAATAAATGTAGATCTAGCTAGATCTTGATCTAGATCTTGTAGAACAAGTGAATAGGATCTAGGAATAGGCCTTGAACTAGAAATCCGCATCCGATTCCAAACAGAGGGGCTCAGCTGAGTCTAGATTCTAAATAAATAAATGATTGACGCACCTGATGCTTTTTACCCACATTAATATTACAACACAACCTATGATAGGGTTTGACAAAATAGAATTGGAATATGAATCCTCCATTGAGGTCTATAAGGATCTATATAAATCTAGATCTAGATCTAGATTCTATTATCTAAGTCTAAGTGAGTCGGACTGGAATGAATCCACACGATCTGAACAATTGAATTTGTCAACAAAACGAAATTCAAAATGGCCGCTCGAGCACGAAAATGAAAGTAGATAATTTAGGTCGTCGTCCTTTTTCGTACTCGCATATCTACTCAGGTTCCGACAATTATGTCGGAAACGCCGACATCGGCAGTCAGCAGGAAAATGAAAGTGCCGACAAAGCCGACGGGAGAAAAGGGGGACGCTGGCAGTCGGCCAGGCCTTGCACTTCGCACATTAACTGATACAGGTGGGCCTAGCGATAGCATCGGCCGCCTCGCGGGTCGCGTCGCGATTGTCGGATTTCAGACGATTGTCGGTAAACATGCAGGTCTAACATACTGTTTACAAACATAAACATAAGATCTTTCATCTTCAAATTCAAGTCACCTGATGTTAATGCTCACTTCTTCTTACAAACATTTTGAGAAAAAAACAAAAACAAACAAACAACCGAAAACAACCCAACCATGTAGAATCTACATCTGCATGCATCACTGAGTATATGAAATACATGAAGCTCAACACAACCAAGTCCAACATTATGGCTAATAGTTCCTCTGTGTCTGAAAGAGGAATGGTACAGGTGAGGGACCAGATTGTGGGAGATGACGGCTTGACTCCCCTACTTGTCATCAGCATTGCGGAGCAGCAGGAGTGGGCCAACGTTGTCCCGAGCGGCTGAATTATGCTGGTTGTGAGACCCATCACACAAGGGGAACTGTAACATGAGATAGGGAAGGGGTGGGGGGAAGGAGATAAGGCATAGGATTCCACATAAGAATTTTGACTCTTAGTTTTTTAAAGAGTTTTACAGCACTTGCAACACAATTAGGTCATATTAGTGCATAAGATTAGTGGTGCTACAACAAGAGAGTAACAAACACAAAAACGAGGAGAGATGACCACAAAAATAAGGGACATAGCAAAATCTTTTCCACTGTTCATTCCTGAAAACTTCTAATAACCTCCTCCCCCCCCCCCCCCCCCCCCCCCCCCCCCCCCCCCAACGGACAATGCATGCATCTTGTTCCATGTCAAAGCAAAAGAAAAGAATAGTGTTGCTGATGTGTCTGTGACTGAACAAAAAATGCCCTTATGGCAGATCACAATCAAGATGATGTAACCAACACTGATACGGTCAGAGCATTCTTAAACCTAAAAATCAGAGTTTGGCTGAAAAAAGTGAGAGTCCCCAGAATCTCTGTAGGTTAAGATTATGTTACAAACTGAAAGTTGCACAAACTTTGCAAATAAAGCAATGTATTTCCACATCACATATGGTAAGTTGAGTAAGACTGATGGAAAAGTAATTAAAAAAGAAATCAAATTTTATGTAAATCCGATCGGGATTCTTCAAGGGGCAAAATAAAATCGGAGAGATACCATTCTATCAGATTACTGGGCAGGTCTATGTATATTGTCAGCAGGCTGCTCAATGTAAAAGGGCCAAAATGTCAGGAGAGAGAAAAAACATTCATTCTTTTGACAGTCGTACCTATAGAGTCTATAATGTAAAAGTATCACAGATTAACTTAAGAAACTGTAATTTGAAAGAAAAATTTTGGGATTAGTTTATCTGAACAGATGGATAACAATATCCAAAGCCTTTGAAATGATGACCAGAGTAAGAACAGTAACCTTCTTTGATCTCCAGCAACGGCAAAAAGCCATCTTGTCTCCAATGTCTTCAATGTCCATCTGAGTTACAACCTTGGAGTCTTCCTTCTGAATTGATTGATTCACCTTGATGGGAAAAAAGGTAAAACAAGAGATTCATTTAGGATTATATATTAAGTGGAGGCAATGAAACATGTTACATGTTTTCAACGAAGGGGAGGTCAAAATTACACACTGACATCATTACAGTAACAGTCATCTCTTTCTATTCTATTTCCGTTCCTTATATGACAATGGGATAGCCCATCAATGACCACTACTGAAAAATAACAAACACAATGGGAACACAGACAGCTGCATTACTTAACACACAACTTTATCTAATGTTGAAATGACATGGTCGGTGTCTTAAGCAATCCACTTGCTTAAATCAGTTTGGGTACTTTTTATACCAGAGGAAAAAAACTAGTTTTTATTGCATTGTTCCAATCAGGAATTATGAAAAGTAAAAAAAATTGTAAGCCTGGACCATATCATTAAACTGCATTTTGGTGATGCTGAAAGGTGCATCTCGGATAGAGCTTTGGAATGGTGTAAAAATAGAAAAATCTCAAAATTTGGACTCACGTGGATAGTTTGCAACAGTAATAACATGCTCTATGAAATCAACAAGTGCTGTTCCTATTTTAGCACACAAGCCTTCAATAAACTGTGTGCTGGGTGCCATCCCGTATTGACCTAAATTTCTGATTTTTGGGCGCTTTTGTCGTGACTGTTAATTACAGAAAACTACTCCCTTTTGAGCCTAAAATTGTGACGATTAATGCCTATATGGTTCATAGAATTTCACTTTTATTATATACTTATTTCCATTTTTGCAGCTGGAATTCAGTGCAAAACATGGGAATGATGGAGGGGGAAATAGAGAGAGACACAGAGATGGAGGGAGGGAAGGTGGGAGTAAGGGAGAGAGAGAGATAGAGGGAGAGGGGGAAAGTAGAGAGAGAGAGAGAGAGGGGGAGGGATGAAGGGAGGGAAGGAGCGAGTAAGGGAGAGAGAGAGGG